ACTTTCTTTTTGTCATAAAAAAAATTATTATTGAAGCAATTCACGCATATAAATACATTTAAAACGTATAAGTCGCACGTAACACGCTGTGATTCAAAAAATGTCTTATCACGCGCATGCATGAAGGCTAGTTTATTAGAAGGATTATTTCCAAGTTTATTTCCAAGTTTCAAGCAGATACCGTACTGCACTGGGAAATTTCGAACACAAAAAGAAAAAGAAAAAGGAAGCTATATATCACTTAAGAGAAATATACCATCTTCATAAAAAACAGAGTATAAAAATTAAACAAAAATTAATTTGTTCATTACTTGTTACTTGTGTGTGTGTGTGTGCGCGCGCGCACACAACACTAACAAAAAAGGCTTTGACCTAAAGAAAAAATAACAACAAAGTTATTCATTCATGTACGTATAAGTGATGCATCACATATCAGTATAGGTGTGTTTGTTGCACACAATTATCTCAGACTGTACTAGTTTCATGGACTAAGTTGGACTGGCTTAGACTAGACTAAGCTGGACTGAATTAGTGAAGCGTTTGATGCAATATTAGACTAAAAACAGGATAATTAACAAACTATAATATTATATTATTTAACACATTTCCAATAATATTTTAGTATTAATTCAACATCTTTTTTGTTTTTCTCTAAAATCTCTGCCCCTCTCTGGAAATTTCTTTCCTCTTCTCCCTCTTTAGCTATGTCCCATCTCTCATTTTCTTTCTGTTTTTCCTGCAAAACCCAGATCATTCCCATCTTTCCTTTGAACTCTATAATCTATACAACCAATCAATCATCATCTCCATCAATTGTCTGACTGACTCCATTGATTTTTCCAATTTCTTGATTTTCTTTTTCTGGCGAGTTGGTCAAAGTGTTGATCGAGAAAGAAATAAGCTTTGAGCATTATTTGAAACAGAGAAAATGGTTTTTTAGAGATGGGTAGAAGAAGAAAGCAAAGCCCAGGGGTTTTCTGAAAAATTTCTATTCATCCCCAAAGCTAGCCATCTGGGATTTTTTTAGGAAAAAGGAAGAACAAGCATAGCCGACTGTTCGCCACGGTGACGACGCCGCAGAAGAAGAAGGAAGCCCAAGGATTGGATGTTGTTATTTAGCAAGCAAAAGTTGGGGTCTGGATCTCAGCCTCAATTTTCTTTTAGTCCCGCTTAATACCAAGCAAAAGTATGGGACTAGATAACGGGGTTTAGCGAAGTGGGGAGGGCCTCGTAGTCAAGGCGAGTCCCATTTATTGTAGTCCAAGACCTTATCAAATGTAGGATAATAATCCCGGTTAAGGCGGTCGAAACCAGTCCCTCCTAAAGAGGTGAAACAAATGCACCCTATGTCTAGATAGCGACAACTTCTTGTTTTGTAGACTGCAAGTTCCTTTATGACCTTCATAACATTTTCAGCACTGGCCCATACTTCTCAATTATATATACTTCTCAATCTACTTCATATAATTCCTGCCCTTTGGAATGAGAATTCTCTACAGATCTTCTTTGTGAGGGTCTCGGAGATTCTCAAATCGTATCCGTTCATCGTATATCGTGCAATCAATTTTGTTAGATATTATTCATGTTTAATTAAATAAATGTATTTAAAATAATTGATGGCTGCATGATATACGATGAACAGATACGATTTGAGGATCCATAGGATTCTCACAAAGAGCCATTGGATTCAATGAATTTATAAATATAAAACTAAAAAATACACATATATGGTGGGCTAACCCATTAATCCAGAGAGGAATCATGGCCTAAATTTTCCCCACAAATGAGTTTTCGGTTAAAACCCATATTTGACCCAAGGCTTGGAGCAAGTTGGGGTATATTTGGAACCTAAAATTTGAGTTCTACTGCATGGGTTGGAGTAGGTCTTAAAGGGTATTTCACGTATATGTTTTCTTGAATTTGCTCAAGTGACGCTAGACCCACCTTATTATTCTATTTCCACACCCACATTATAATATCACCCATCATAAAAAGGTAAAACATTTCAATGCTATTTCTCCACCCACTATTATTCCTGAAATATCCTCTAATAATATCTAAATTCCTTTTAAATTTTTCAAAAGAACAAATATTAATATGTTTTAAAGTTTTATGCGATGAGCTCCCATCAATTCCCTTCTCGTGAGGGCGTGATTTTTTTATTCTCCCTCAGTCGTCATCTAGGGTTTCCCAAGCCTTCTTGGGTTCCTCTTGATGCATGTTCAAAATATTGTGGTGAACGATTTAGGGAGCTCTTCTTGGCTATTGGAACTTTCTCTGTCGTCTCTTGATTGTAAGATATATTTTGAAATCACAACAACAAAACTTAAGATCACAAATAAATCAAATCAATATAAAATAAAGATGAACTAATAGTTGAATATCAAAGTGCGCAACAAACAAGACTACAAAATAATAAGAATATTATTAAACTAACGAGAATGCCGAAACGGCTACAAAACCCTAGAAGAGGCTACATCTTGAATGACTTGTTATTCTATGAGCTACAAAGCATCATATATATAGAGAACTAACCAAACCCTAATAAGCAAGAAAACAAAACCCTAATACTAATGGGCTAAGCCCAAATTCAAACAATAAAATAATCCTAAATTCCAACATCCCCCGTCAAACTCATGGCAGTACACATCATGAGTTTGCCAACAAGCAGATGCAGATGCAAGCTCCATTAGGCGGACACAACAATGCAAGCTCCGTTAGGCAAACACAACAAGGCAAGCTCCGTTAGGCGAACACGACAAGGCAAGCGATTCAAGCGAACAAACGAACAACCCATTCTAGCAATCAACAAATTCTGGATGATCAGGCTAGAGACAGGTTCTGGGTGCAACGGCAATGAGTCATATAGGTGAGGTGGGGGGAGTCGAACTGGTGGAGATGAAGCGGATCTTGTACTACTACAGGAGTGGTCCAGGTGGGCCTAGATGCGGTGATGCAACGGTGGGTGACTGGATGGCTTGGCGGCTGCGAGACAACGGCAAGGGATCTGGGTGCAGGTGCAACAACAGGTACGAGAAGATGGTGGCACAATGGTTCAAGTAGGCAAGGTGCAGATTCAATCGAATTTGCAGCGGGTGTTTCTAGTGGCAGCGTGGTGGTGATCTGATGAGGAAATGATAGTGGGTGCGGGTCAGAATGATGCAACTGCAAGCTGGCTAATCTTCAAACTTTAGGCGTCGGCTCCGGTGCGATGTGGTTATGGCGGCGGGACTCAGAGCATCACAATTTTTTTTTTCGGCTTAAAATAAAAGCCTAACAATAACAAACAAACAATACGAACAGAAGCAGATTAAATCCCGAAGGATGAAACCTGCTCTGATACCAAGTTGAATATTAAAGTGCGCAACGAACAAGACTACAAAATAATAAGAATATTATTAAACTAACGAGAATGCCGAAACGGCTACAAAACCCTAAAAGTGGCTACATCTTGAATGACTTGTTATTCTACAAGCTACAAAGCATCATACATATATAGAACTAACCTAACCGTAATAAGCAAGAAAATGAAACCCTAATACTAATAGGCTAAGCCCAAATTCAAACAATAAAATGATCCTAAATTCCAACACTAATTATATTGAACTTATCTATAGAATACAAAAGACATGGCTATTCCGGATGACAAATGATGAGTTCACAAGGTTGCCTTCTCCTTCCAATACTCCAAAATATCCCTCTCCTATATGAACAAGTTTTAGTATTATGAGAAATTCAGCGTATGGAAGTAGGGACTTAACCTAGTATTTATATACCATTGGGGTTTCTTATTAGTCGGCCTATTAATAGCTATGAAGGTCAACCCTATCACCTTGATTGAGTCCTATCATGATGCAATATCTTTGTATTTGAACCTCTAAATGATTCTCCTAGATAAGGTGCAATGATTTAAGACTCCACAATTCTTACCTAACTAGGATTCTTAATTTACTCAAATTGCACATCACTGAATAATCAAGTGATTTGTTCCTCAAGTAACCAATTGTCACACATTGCCATTCACTGAACTTTACATTGATGTCAATGGAAGATGTGCTTCATTCTTTTGCTCCCCGTTTTCGCTCTCACTGAGGAGGAACAATGTGAGATTCTTATTCAAAGATGCCTCCCAAATTCGCATCTTCAGTTTCTTATTGGTGGGCAAATTGTTAACCACAAGAATTACAACAAAGAGGCCTAAGACAAAATCCACAACCCCACAACCACCACCCAGCCAACCATGTGCGCCACCAACATAAATTCACAATGCCACCATAACCACCATCCTCTGTTGCCATAACCAACAAAAACCTAGATCCAAAAGTGATCAAATCAATGAACCAATGACTAAAAATCCAAAATTAACAAATTGGGTGACCAACAAATCGGATGGGGGAAATAGAAAATGAGGATAATACTGTAAGGGAATAGAGAAAGAAAAGGAGCCAGAGAGTAATAGTTCGTTGGAAGTGGGAACGTTCAGAGCTTCTAAGTGCTTATACGTCATTTTGTCAAGGGTGAATTTGTTAATAATATTTTTATTAAAAAGTGGATGGAAAAATAAAGCACTAGGTGGAGATATCAGCACTCCTTTACTCAGACCTAGGATTATGTCCACAGTACCTCATGTTCCTACATGTTTAAGCCTTAAGCCACCCCTCATTCAAGAGTTTTATCTATCTTTTGGGGCTACATGTTTATACAAAAATTAAATGTAAAGGGAAAAAAAGAAAAAGGCTCATTAAAAGGGGTATTGGAATGAAGCCCTCCAATTATAAGGTTACATCCCAGTTCAAAGATCCCTACAATTTTTTACTTTAGGATTTAATAAAGTAAAGGATGTGTATTAGTTCCTCTGAGTAGGATAATGTCACACCCCAACCCAAGGATTAACATAAACCTTCGTTCAGAACGTGAATCACACCTTAATTATAAGCTTAACTAATATAATTAAGAATGTGACATGAAATAAAAGCATGTATAACTCGCTTGAAACAAAATTAATTAAACAACATATTCATTATTGAAAGTTTCAGCCAAAATTACAACTTATGAACTACTCAAAGTTCACACAAAAGTAGTTCTTTATTCAAACAAGAGAGCAAAAGCCAACAAGCTCATCTTTTTATTTCTTATACATAATTACACAACAGACAGCAAGCAGACTTTTAGGTTTCTGGTTCTGTACCTGCAAAATTTCGTTAGGGTGAGCTTAAAAAGCTCAGTAGGGACATATACCTTCATTACTAAAATAATAAAGTATAATTAAGATAGCAGAATTAAAACCAAAATCAGAATGATGCGTAAGAATGCAATGCACATGCCTTAACTATACCCGTTAATCCACATAACTAAATACCCAGACCTTGTACGTCCCATTCCGTACTTATACCACTTGATCCCGAGTGTTTAAATATATGAACTAAGCCCCATCCCTAGACATCCCCGAACTCCCCTTTTGTTAGTCATCTTGCCCAAACTCTTCGTCTCCAGTCCCGAATTACCCTTAAAGAATCTGTGCACTGTGGGCTTGCCTGAGACCTGGTACCTACTAAGAGTTTGGCTCAACTACACAAAACTAATAGTCACCACCTTAGATTCCCGAAGTTCTTTCCGACAATCCCACTTTACTCCCACATCATGGACCCAAATTTCATTTCGAACATTCATCATACTCAAATATCCTATAAAAACATGTATCTCAAACTTGTATATGTACTTAAGTAAGAAATAATTAAATTAATATATATATATATATAGAAGGTTTCCCAGAACCCTCTACCTTGAATTCGATTAATTTTATTCCTCTGAAGAACCTAATCGGAACACAAAAATACAACCAAAAATATAAACACAATTAACACATATTAGAAACCAAACTAAGTGTTCAACCACAAAATTGATATTATCTAAAGAAAGTACATAAATTCTGGAATCTTATAACTCAAATAATGTCACTCAAATCAAGTAAAGAGGACTAGAAAGGAATCTGGAAAAGAAATTAGGTGTGCTAAAAACAGAACTCTGCATCTTCACAAAATCTGCAGAAAAACAGCACTATTGAACCAAGTTTAGACTCATTTTCGAACATTCAAAACTAAACCAAATCGTGTAATATTACATGGGTTTTGAAGTTCGTGTTATGTACTGTAAAAGCATATAAAGTTTGTAGAAAACGGAGCTCTAAATTGGAAGTTATGCCAAAAGAAAAATGGAGTCTTGAAACTGGAAACCCAGTTTTCTGCTGCTGTTTGGCAGATCGTGACCCAAGTTTAAATAAGGTTTTGATCAACCAAAACTCAACGAAACTGAGTGAAAACAATTGGGTTACAATCATGGACATATGTATTTTCAACACAATAAAAGTTTTCTCCAAAGGAGCACATAAAGACCTATGAATTAAGAGCAAAATAAGACCACTAGAAACTTGAGTTTCCGATGCAAAGAAATCAATTTTCTGCACTTACATAACAGTATACTTCCAATTCATATAACAAAACCCAAAATATTTCCAAGTAATCCAGAAATCATGTATACAACACCCAAATATAACATGACTCAAAATTAACAAGAAATTGACCTTTTGAACCAAACCCTTGATCAAGAAATTTGATCTACACACCCAATCCGAATTACCCAACTCTAATTCAAGTTCAAATTGGTTCATTGAACAGTAGAAAGCCCTAAATAAAACAAAGAACTCCAAATATATCTCATGGCAGTTTCAATTCAACTAAAGGTCGTACCCAGTGCACAAGGCTCCCGCTTTACGCAGGGTCTGGGAGAGGTGAATGTTGGCTAGCCTTACCCCCATTTATGGAGAGGCTTCTCCCAAGTCTCGAACCCGAGACCTACCGCTCATGGGCGAAGGCACTTGCCATCGCACCAAGTGCGACCTCTCGGCAGTTTCAATTCAACTAAGGAAATTAAATTCGAAAAATCTAAATAATCAAGTAACAAGAAGTTTACCCTTCAAATCTCTGAATCCTTCCTTCACAATCATGTTCTCTAACTCTCAAATTCTCTACTCCTTTTCGATTTCTGATGTTTTCCCACTTCTACAACCCCTTTTATAGTTTCTCTAATCCTACTCACTCCTATCAGAGTCATGATAAAAACCTAGCTTCCTAGGCCATCCACCTCCTACTTATAGACCTCTGTGTCTCTTCTTAGTTCATCCTCTGCCGAACACACTCTTTGGTGAAATAGGAGATGAACAACTCTCTATGACACACTCCTTTGATCAATCAAAAGTCAACCTATCACAAGATTTCCTAATCTCTATCCGATTTTTTGGTATGAAGAAAGAAGATTTTTTTTCTTCCTAAAGCTATGGAAGGCCACCTCCTCCTAGCTTCCTTGTTTCCATCGCACAGAAAGGAATAACATGAAAGAATGTTCTTTTCCTTTCTTTTATAAAATATTATTTTATATATATATAAATATATTAACAATAATAAGAAATCTCTAATAAATAAAAATTATAGTATTAAAAGCTATTAAACAAATAAAAACTAAGTAGACTAAAATTTTGTATAAAAACAATTATAATCACACTTCACCCTTAATTAAACGAGGGATATTACAGATAATGTAGGACGCTTAGCGTCCACCCACAAATCCAAGGCGGAGGGTCCTGCACTCCATGGGACTGCTATCCTCTCGTTACCCTTGTATAATAAGTCATGTAACAAAGATCGGCCTTTTATAAAAGGGTGCGGATCGAGTTAAGATAATTTGAGTGCACTTACATGTTTTGGCTCCTTTACATTCTTCAGTGGGTTGAACACCAATCTCTCTTTTGCTTTTTGGTGAATCTCCCTTTTATCTCCCTCTTTCCCATACCCTTTCCCTGATTTAACTTTGGGAAACCCAATCAAAACCGCACCTTTCGCTACATTAATAGGAAAAGAGGACTAAACAAATAGATTTTTTTCAATTAATATCTTTCTCAAAATTGCGTTATGTGTGACGTGTTTAGATTTTGGGACCGAAGCTCCAATTTGTTTGACAAACATTATCGGTAAAACGAGAAACCAATGCATCATATTGATGAGTTTGGATCAGGAGTTTACAATCTTTTTATTCTTTTTATTGGTGTTAAGATTTATATCGTTCTATCATGACATTATGCTAATCATGTCTAAAGCAATATGGATAGAGATTACTTTTAATTATCTTTCTAAAACTACTAGGTTTTTTTTATTGGTGTAAGCGTGGCTGCAGGAATTTAGGAAATGGCATGGTTCGAAACAGGGCAGCAGACGGATAACCCCTCAAAAATGGGAGAAACCCGGTGTGGGATGGGTTAAATGTAATTTCGATGGTGCATGGGACGAAGTAGGTGAACTAGGGGGTGTTGGTGTCATGGTGCGAGATGAGCAGTGGCGTAGCCAGAATTTTCATATAATGGGGGTCATAATATCAATCAAGAAAACTTTATTGGGCCATTTCGTCAAGCATCTAGTAGGCATCTTCTAATTCCTGTTAACATATGCCCAGGTTTATGCCAACATACGTCGACATTTGTAGAGGCTTGTCGACGGTGGATGCAGGATACTTTGCAATAATGTTGAAGACTGCCGAGGCATTTGAACTAAAATATTTTTTACAAGAAGAGAGAAAAAGAAGATAAATATGATAGAAGAAAATAAAAGTATGACGAAAATATTGTAATTTAGTTTCCTTATAGCGGTCAAATACAATGTACAAACAAATATACATGGGGTTTTTTAAGTTGTTGGGGTCAAGGACAACCAATGACCCTATGTTGGCTCCGCCACTAAAGATGAGAATGGGGAATTTGTAGCAGCTACAGCTTTGCATTTCAGAGGAGTTAGCTCGGCAGTTTTGGCTGAAATAATGGTTGCTTGGGCAGCAATTCTATTTGCTCGTAATCTGGGAGTGATGCAACTGAAGTGCAGGGGGATGCAATGATGGTTATCAATGCATTGCAGAGTGACAAGGCAGCGCTAGGCAATGGTATGTTGGTAATGCTCTACATGATGCCAGTCAAATATTGAAGTCTTTTCAGAATTGGAAGGCTATGTTCGGTCAACGTAAAACGAATAAGATTGCACATTGGCTTGCAAGATTGGGCTTAAGAGTGGATACTCAAGTTTCATGGTTTGAAGAACCTTCTAATGTAATTTCTGATTTGCTTTTTGAGGATAGTATAACTATTTAATTTAGAGGTGCAGGACACTCTTTTTCCCTTGAACCAGGTTGAAAGCCCCAGCAAGGTTTTTATCAAGGCTCACTATTAGCACCCTATCCTCGGGTTTTGTACAAAGCCATTTGCTTAAGATTTTTATTTTTGTTTTAGTAGCCCCCCACAATTTGATGGCATCCCCTTAAATTTTTAATATTAAATGACATATCAATAACCCAATGTTCTAAAAAATGGCCTAGGCGGTGGTGACCTGAGGCATTTTCTTGCAAATCGGTTGGAAAAATCGGCTAGGCTCTAGGCGGGATAGGCGCTAGGTGGTTTTTTTTTTTTTTTAATTAAAAAAAAATCCTATCTACATCACTATATTTCCTTATTTTCCTCCTATTTTGCATTTTATGTGCCTTAAAATTGTGAACTTATTGTACATGTGTCATCCTACAATACTCCTCACTATGATTATGTAGCATATATGCTTAATGTGTTTTTAAATTTTGGACTTGTTGGATACTCTTTTTACATTTTATCATTCTTTTATTATCTTATCCATGGATTTCATACAAGTATAATTTTTTGTAAGTGTTAATATACACTTATTTACAATATATACATGAAATTTACCTAAATCCGCCTAGGCCGCCTAGGCGCCCGTTGATACCCGCCGCCCTACTAGCGCCTAACATTTTTTAGAACCTTGCTTTAACAGCTTTCTAAAGTATAATATCGTATTCTGAACACACCCGACATGTCTAACTTGAGATAATCTTACACTCCAAAAGTTATTTTCTTCAACCTCTCAAACCTATTCTTACTCACCATCGTAGAACAAAGTAAACAATAATTGTGGTAGCGAATTTCGGTCGTCTTGACGAAAATGTACATATAGGAGAGAGCCGGCCATGGTGTTAAGGTTTTGCCCTACACATGGCTGCATCCTATTGACCAAGGTGTATGGAAAGAATATTCTTAAGATATTAAATAGGAAATAATATCTTGAGATAATTTGGAAGTATCCCTAATTGATTAAAATAGGGATTAATTACTTGATTGAGTTAATCTTCAATTGGAAATGTATTAAAGATGAGATTTGGTAATTAATCTCTATCTTTAATGCATTTGACTTTTTCTTACCATGAGCAGGTGAGCTGTGAGCAGTCGTATTCAACTATTTAGACCTTCAGGGGTCCTAAGCTACGTGTGAGAGTATTTGAGAAGCATGCCCAATTAATGAAGGCAATTTTGTCTTTCTTGAGTGAAAGTCTACATGTCGCCTCCAAGATTTTTGGAATAATTTTAGGTTCCAAAATAAACCACTAAGGACACAAATAATTGCACATGTATATATATAAATAAAAGTTAGGCTTTTTAGTCAAAATGGTCCATAAGATTTGAAATCAATAGAATTGGTTCCTAAGACAAGACTTGGAAGTGCCCAAGGACTAGATGGTGGAATCTAAAAGAAGAAAAACAAGCCATTTTCAAAGAGAAGGTAATCACCCAATGTGTGTGGGATAGAGAGGGGGAAGCTAGCCAAATGTGGGATTCCATGGCTAGTTGTATCCGAAAAGTAGCAAAAGAGGTATTAGGAGAGTCCAAGGGCTTTGCCCCACACCAAAAGGAATCTTGGTGGTGGAATGAGGAGGTACAAACAAAGGTGAAGGCTAAGAAGGAATGTTGTAAAGCCTTATACAAGGAGAGGACTGATGAAAATGGTGAAAGGTATAGAAAAGCGAAGCAAGAGGCGAAGAAAGCTGTCAGAGAAGCTAAGTTAGCGGCTTACGACGATATGTATAAACGACTAGATACCAAAGAAGGAGAGTTGGATATCTATAAACTATCTAGAGCAAGGGAAAAGAAGACAAGGGACCTAAACCAAGTGAGGTGCATCAAGGATGAGGATGGAAAGGTTCTTGCTACAGAGAACGCGGTTAAAGACAGATGGAGAGGTTATTTTCATAATCTTTTCAATGAAGGACATGAAATGAGTGATTCTTTAGGGGAGTTGAGTAACTCAGAAGAGTGTAGAAACTACTCTTTTTATCGTCGAATCCGGAAGGAAGAAGTGGTTGTAGCTTTGAAGAAGATGAAGCATAAAAAAGCAATAGGCCCAGACGATATATACCAATCGAAGTGTGGAAACTTTTGGGAGAGACAGGTATAACATGGCTCACTGACCTTTTCAATAGGATTTTGAAAACGAAGAAGATGCCAAATGAGTGGCGAATGAGCACTTTGGTGCCTATCTACAAGAATAAGGGCGACGTACAAAATTGCATGAACTATAGGGGTATTAAGCTAATGAGTCATACAATAAAGCTCTGGGAGAGAGTCATTGAGCATAGATTGAGGCAAGAGACACGGGTTTCGGACAACCAATTCGGGTTCATGCCAGGGCGCTCAACCATGGAGGCAATCTATCTCTTACGAAGATTGATGGAAAGATATAGAGATGGGAAAAAGGATTTACACATGGTCTTTATAGATTTGGAAAAAGCGTATGATAGGGTCCCAAGAGACATTCTTTGGAGGATTTTAGAGAAGAAAGGAGTACGAGTAGCATATATCCAAGCTATAAAAGGATATGTATGAAGGAGCAAAGACTGCCGTAAAGAACTCATGAAGGACAAACCGAAAGCTTTCCCATAACTGTAGGATTACATCAAGGCTCATCCTTAAGTCCTTACCTTTTTGCGTTGGTAATGGATGAGTTAACACGACATATTCAAGATGATATTCCTTGGTGTATGCTTTTCGCAGACGATATAGTGTTGATAGATGAAACTCAGGAAGGGGTAAATGCAAAGCTTAACCTTTGGAGAGAAGTGTTGGAATCTAAAGGTCTTCGCCTAAGCCGATCAAAGACAGAATATATGGAGTGCAAGTTCAGTGCAAATGGAGTCCAAAACGAGTTAGGGGTGAGGATCGGAGATCAGGAAATACCAAAGAGCGACCGTTTTCGTTACCTAGGATCTATTTTGCAAGAACGGAGAATTAGATGGAGATCTCAACCATAGAATACAAGCTGGATGGATGAAGTGGAAGAGTGCATCCGGCGTGTTGTGTGACCGCCGTATGCCACTGAAGCTCAAGGGAAAATTTTATAGGACGGCAATAAGGCCGGCGATGCTGTATGGCACAGAATGTTGGGCGGTGAAACATCAACACGTACACAAAATGGGTGTAGCGGAG